TTTTTTACGTGCGCTCAAATTTTTTTTCCATGTGCACTCAGAATAGTGGCACAAAAATAACGCCATACCTTTCTTGCCCTTTTTATATCTCGTCTCTGGAAATCAAACCATGTTCCACCATTACTGGACAGTATGAAGTGAAAAACAAGTTATTAATATATATACTCATTATTTACAAAAACCATTATTTCAGACATGCCCTTGTTTTGACTGTACAACATGGTAACAGCCACAGTTTCTAAATGGATCAGTAAGTATTTAAAAGTACAATGGAAGTCAGAGCCTTCACCTTTCAGGCTCCTCTTCTGTGGAACCAGTTTAATTTGGATTTGGGAGACAGACACAGTCTCTACTTTTAAGATTTGGCTTCAAACATTCCCTTTTGCTAAAGCATATAATTAGGTCTAGATCAGGGGACCCTAAATCCTCCCTTAGTTATGCTGCAATAAGCCAATGGTGCTGGAGAGCAGTACCATTTCTTCTTCTCTCACCTTTTTCACTCAGCATTCTGCATTAAATCAGTAGTTATCAATAATATCTGTCTCTCTTCCACAGTGTGCCTTTATGTTGTTTTCCTCCCATCACACCCAACTGGTTTCTGCCCTTTCCTTCCCACTGTTGACAAATGTTCACTCAAAGAGGTAATTTAATTGCTGGGTCCATTAAGCGTCTTTACCTTGCAATATAAAGCGCTTGAGGCTGATTTGGCCCTATATAAATAAAATTGAATTAACTAACAGTCCTCTTTAACTGACAATGCTGGTAGAAACTAAGTGAGAAGACACTGCTGGCATGTGGACTGAACGCTTGTCAAATATCTGAGCAAATACTAATGTCACAGAAGCATACTGGTCACTGCATTTATGCTGGATAACTCGTTAGCAGTTGCAGATATACAAAATTCTCTTTCAACTTCATTTTTGCTGGTTGAAAGAATGAGGGATTTTGTGTCTGCAGTGATTTGCTCATGAATCACAGGTGCTTTGTGGTTACAAATCCATGTGGTGGACACAGGACAGCTGAGAATGAGACATCTTGGTCCTCTGCTTTGTAATAAACTGCTCGTTCAGCGGGTTTTGCAACATGTTTACCACAAAAAAATTGTTTTTTCTTTTTACTTTTAGGTAACTGTAAATTTAAAACACAAGTGAAAACATCTTAAAAGTAAAAATGAGAAAATACAAGGTCAAATTTTTATCCTAAAAACTTTCCCATTATGTAACATTTCTCAATTGGTGTTGATACATTTACACCAACATTTTTTTCTCCTGGAAGCAGGTTTCTTTGAGACACTTCGTTGGTCTACGAGCAGACAGTCTTTGGGATAGGATTTTGGAAATCTGGGTGGTCACATTTTGGAAGCTTTAATAAATACTATAAATATCTAGAAATGAAACCTACCATCTAAGGTTAGAGATATGCTATTTCCCCTAATAAGCCCAGGTCTTCCTCTGAAAGCTTTTCTCTATAATCCACATGCTTTGTAGACATCACCTAAACCGTCCAACTTCTAACATTTGCCCTTTCATGTGATGTGTGCAGTTTAGTAGTTAGGGATTACTTATAAGAAACATGTAAACAAACAAACAAACAAACAAAAAAAGGTGATCTCAAATTCCACCAGCACTTAAACCTGCACAACCACAGTAAGAAAATATAATTAAAACATGATATTGTACAGTTCTGTGGAGTCCATTATCTCACAAGAAAACAAAAAAAAATCATTAAAGACTATTTCAAGTATACAGTACAGTGCAAATGTCTTGAGCCAGCTTTCATTTCTTTATGACTTTCCAGGAAAACTGGAAATGGGTGTAGTCATTTTTTTAAATGCAAGAAAATAAATGGAAATACAGTATATAAGGGGAAAATTGAGTTTTTACAATTTTAACAGGCTTGAAAGTCAATATACAAGTCAATATTGCTACCTTTACAGTTTAACACAGCCTGAACTCTCTTAGGCAAGCTTTCTTTAAATTTCTTTAAGTAGTCTTCAGGAATATTGTTGGCCGTTGGCTGCCTTTTGTTCTTTTCTCTGTCAAGATGATACCACAGTCAAATTAAAGTTGAGGTCCAGGCTCTGGGGAGGTCAATCCATAACTGTGTCTGTTTTTCAATTGAAGTATGCTTAAGCAATGATGCCAAAAGGACTGGCAGTCTATTCTGGCATCATTTTTGAAGAATGAGAGAAGCCATTTCCAATCAAATACGTTTTTAGATGGTAATGCATGGTGGATCGAAATCTCTCAGTACTTTTCAACATTTATAATTCTCTTCATTTTGATAAGATCCCCAATACCAATGGCTGAAATGGAGCTGCAAACCATAACAGTGCCTCCACCTTGTGGTAAAGATTGCATTAGACTATCACTCCTGACCTCCACTCTACATACGGATGACAAATTAAACCAAAAATCTGAAATTGTGTATCACTTCATAAGACCTGATGTCACTAATTATTAGTCCAGTTCTTGTGTAATTTAGCATACCTCCACCTTTCCCGTTTCCCCTTTCTTAAGAATAGTTTTTTGAAAGTTACCCTTCAAATTAGACCATTTCTGATGAAGCTTCAGTGAATAATAGATGGATAGATGGAATGATCAGCTGAAGAGTCAGATGCATCTTTCAGGTCTCGTGTTAGGTAATAATCTTATAATGATGCATTTTTAAGTATGTAAAGTGCATTCATTAAAAAAAAAGAAAAAAAAAGAAGAAAAATAGTATCTTCTAGCTGTCAAACTGCTATGTTTGGCATTTTTTTTCAAAGATTCAACTAGAGAACTGGGAACAAATTATGTGTTTTTGTCACAGGCTACTAAGGGTGGGCGGTATAAACGGTATACGGTAGAAATTATATAAATTTGGCCAACGGTAGAGATTTTGACTATACCGCTCTATCGCGATAGTGCATGTTGATGGTGTCATCAAGTTGCGCCTGTTTTGGTCGAAAGCATTGCAGCGGCTGCAAACAACATCATTGCAAATTATGCCGGGTGACAGTCATAGCAAAGAGTCAAAGCACTTTTGGAATATGGGGAAAGCCAAAAACTGTGCTTCCTCCACTTTCATACCATTGATTCATTAATGCTGGATTCTCTTGCAGCTGCTCTATTCCCATGTTGTTGCAGTATATTAATGACTAACCTCGTATTGTGGATGGATTATCTCAGTTGTTCTCCTGACTGAATTTTGGTCCGTTTATAGCATCCTGCCATGCAATTGCATTTGTCCCTAACCACCAGAAACCCTCACGTTAACTTTTATCGAGTAGAAAGAAGTTTGCGTTCATCCTTCAGCTTCACTTTGCTAATGTTATGCTAACATAGCTGTTTTGCTAGCGATCACGTAGGACATCACTGCATACCAGCTAGTCAAACTTCAGTAACCCTACAAACGTCACTGCTGTTTAGTTTTCTGTCTTCATTCCACTTCATGTTGGAAGTGATAGCAGAGCTGTACGTTTAATTTTTTCAGAAATCTCTCAGTCAGAACATGCTATATCATGTTTAGGTGGAAACTAGCGAGCTAACTTCCTGCTAACTTCTAACTGCGTTGAATTTAATAAATTCTGTCTTCATGGATGCCTGGATGTTAAACTTGATTGTTACACCTGGTAAAGCAGCAACACTGATCATTTTATTAAAGATGAAAGAATTTAGACAGTTGTTAACTCTCAGTAATGCCGTAGTGTTCGTTTGACTTTGGGACCTGAAGTTGACAGAGTTTTGGACCCAGATTACTCCCGCAAGGCTCCTGACTACGGCAGCTGTAATGCTCCGACAATCCATCAAGCGGTGCAGCTTCATAGCTTACCAAAGTCGTACTAAAGACAGATTTCTGTGCACATTGTCGATTTTTGAAAAAATTAAAGGATTTTAAGTGTGCCTTATAGTGTGTAAAATACGTTCTACAGAAGAAAAGAATATATCGTGATATATATCATTACTGCACTTGTTTCAAATTATACTGTGATATTGGGACTGGGCGATATATCAAGTTTTTAAATATATCGATATATTTTTATACGAGATATGAGATGTGACAATATCGTTTGTATGATATAGTCTATGTTACGTTATAATTATACTTGTGGAACCGCAAGTTTGCCTCTCTTTCGCCCACTTTTGTCTCTACGCAACGTTACTCTGCCTCGGCTCTCTCCTTCACTGAACACAACTCCCACTCCCCCACCGCTTCACCTGCAGGCAACGACAAGATGGACACAGCAGCTACAAAGAGGAGTTGGTCGGTAAAAAGAAAAGATTTGGAGATTACCGTTTTAGCGCTGTCAGCGTGACGTTAACGCCATAGCTGCATTAACGGGGCAAATCTCCGTTAACGAGTTACCGTAGATGACCCTGTGCGTAGGGCTGGACAGCATCAACGAGCTGTGCTAACGCGTTGACGCCTAAAATCCTTTCATTTTCTCAAAGACCGACAGTGTGCCATATGTATGAATTCTGGTTGTGCTTACTGACCGCGAACAGATTTTGTGGTACACAGCGCTCAGAAACCTTTCAAAAAATGTTTTGGTACGACTTTGGTAAGCTACGAAGCTGCACTGCTTGATGGCTACCGAGGAGCCTCGCGGAGTAATACGTACTCTGCTTCAACGTAATATTACCGTACTGTGTGTGGATAAGGACCACAAATGGCACCTGTAAGAGACATGGTTACAAAAAGGATTTCAAACTCTATGGGCTCAAATTGTGGTCATAAATATTTTGTACTTGTAAATCAGTTTTGTACTTGTAAATTAGGATTTGTATGTGTAAAATGAATTTGTGTGCGTGTAAAAAAGATTTGTGTGTGGACTTAGCCCAAAAATACTTGTGAAACTCTGCACTCAAATTTCAAGTTACAAGTACGAATTTTGACCCCGTTTTTCTTCCTTTCATCTGATTGGCCAATGTCATGTCAATCACAAATTTAACTATCCAATCAGAGAACAGATGGGTTTGAAATGAAATAAACATTTCATTGTTTGTAATGATTCTTTTCTGTGATTACAGATGCTACCCTGAGATTCCGACCTCAGTACCCCCAAGTGGCAACAGACAAATGATCCTATATTCACTCTTTGTAGTAACTCCAAAATTAACTGATGAAAACAGTACTAAGACTAAAAAGTACCACATGAGATGCTGTCAGTGAAGGCTGCAGCCGTTTTATTGATAAAAGTCTAACATCCAGGTGACTGGTCTCACTATACAGTAGCATAAGCAGTAACTCAGCAGAAACCTGCTGATCTCAGATCTGCACAGCCTCTGCTTTTAACACTGACTGTAATCAGCTGCATGAAAAGGACATGATTTGGAATGTCAAAGGTCTTTACTTGTATATTGAACTAAAAACTTTCACACTGTGTTTTGCTAATAGTGTGTTATTTATCATAAATTAATTAAGAGCCATTCATACAAGAGTAACAAGAGACAATGTGTATTTTAAATTTTAATATCTTTCTACTGGACTGAATACAACATTGTTATGTCAAAGTCCAGGTCCTCTGTGCTTTATCTGAGGATGATGTGCACTACTGCTAACATTACACAAGGCAAAGGTCGCCATCACATTGTTTATGAAGTGCTGGGTTTAAAGATGTTCTGTGATGGGTCTACGATGGAGATCTGAAGAAGATATCCCTCTGAGGGAGCTGATAGTGAAGATAATGAGTCCTGCTTCATTCCTCCTGATGTTTCTGAAATAATGTCTCTCTCAGTGGGACAACCGAAAATCTGTCATAGGACAACAGTGATGAAAGAAAGGGAGAAAGTTTCTGGAAACCTCTGGCTCCACAACACCTAGCTTGGTCCTGACGGTATCCTTCACTTCTTTTCCCCTGGTGAAATGTGTCTGTGAGTAATAAGGTGAACTCTGGATCCTGGTATTAAATGAAAAGAACAAATTACACTTCTATTAACCTTCCACTACTGTGTTTTTAAATCTAATATTTTATTTTAAAGTTTCCATGTTACCAGACTGCAGAGTGCTCTGTGAGTGCTATGGATCTAAAACTGCTTAAATCTTCATTTTTATATCATCCTCAGGCTTACGTTAAAATCTCAAAGGACAATATTTAAAAATCTAAGTAGTGCTGTATCATTCAAACCAAGTCTATGAAACAAGCCTCTAACACAGTGCATACACTAAAGGCTAATCTAGCTAACACATTAACAATAGGGGCTACAGAGTGATGCCAGATGTTGCAGAACTATAAGATGTTAAGCTGTGTCTTTTTAAATTATAGCAACATGGTTGTATTCACCTTCATTTAACGAACCATCAGTCGTGGTAAACCCATCAGCAGATATCCTCAAAATTGGAGCAGCTGGGCTATATAAAAAGTGTAGGTGGGTTTGTTCGCGGTTTCGTCCAGCGGGTGTGTGGGTGGGAGTGTGATGCAGCAACTCCACTTCAAGTCACTACTGTTCATACTTGGGCTCCAAAAGTGCAATATGGCAGCCCCCACAAAAAGGTAATTTTGACTTCATTTTGAGAGGAATTGGAGCCACGTTGTCCGTCTAAATGCTCCACATCTGTAATCATTACCGCAGCAATATTATTGCAAATGCAAAAGTGAGCAAATAAGGGAAGGAGATATGCACCTACCTTTATTGTTACATGGGCTGTTGAAGCTAGCTTGCCCATGGGTCTTGAGGTGACTTGTGATGTAGGCAGCACTTAGCATTTTGCCACAGATGTTGCAGGTCACTTTGCCTTCATGTCTGATCATGTGAGATCGCAGGCGGTCTTTGGTAGCAAAAGCAGACGTACAAGCCTGAGAAAAATGAGAAATCAGGAAATCAATTTTTCTTTTTCAACTTGTATTGTAGTTTCACTTCATTAACAAAACACTTTGCAAAAAGGACACTCTAGATAACTAGTGCAGCTTGTGCTGCATTGGTTGCCATTTTCTGTGATCAACCTCAAGATTGTTCATGTTACTTTCATGAGCAGCATGACTGATCACAAATGTGTTTTGCCAAAAACCATGGACTACCAGCCACTACATTTCAGAAAATGCATATTTGAAGCACAGAGAACTCAGATATTATAATATACAAAGTAACCATAAGACATGATACAAATGGAAATTAACAGTTTCTGAGTGGCAGCTAATCTCTAAACAAAACTGCCCTTTATTGGCCTGTGATGAAGACACACAATGTAAACTTAAAATAAACATGAAAGCAAGAGACCCAGTCACAACTCTTACCGTTACTTGGCACTTAAATGGCCTCTCTGAGGAATGGACGTGCTTGACATGACAGCTTAGATGATCAGGTCTGAAAGGTGAGATATATACATACCAATTTAAGGCTGGGTAATGTGGTAGTTACAGTAACTGAAAAATCCAGGCTAAGTTTTAACCCAAGAATCCCTTATACTATTAGATTTCCCTTTATATAAAACCCAAATAACACAAAACCGATCACAAAAACAATTCCAAACATTTTGCTTGTCAGGAGGCCAGAAATATAGATGCATGGTTTTCTATGAAGAAGGTAACACAAACTTAATATCTATCTGGGACGAATCACCTAATTTTATTGAGAAGTTTTATCATTTAATTAAAATCAGTAAAATACTCACAATGAAATATTATGTATTTTAGGACTGAGAAATGCTACACTGCATAAATAGGTAGATACTTATGGAACACCAGGACTGCCATAATGAATGAATTAAATACACCATTAAATATTTAATTAAATGTGTCAATAATTACATAAATATTTACGACACATGTAATTAATTAATTAATTACTTAATTACACATTTAATTAATTATTGCCACATTTAATTAATTATTTATTTCACATTTTAATTAATTATTGCCACATTTAATTAATTATTTATTTCACATTTTAATTAATTATTGCCACATTTAATTAATTATTTAATGGTGTATTTAATTAATTCATTTTGGCACAGTTGACTCCTTCAGGTCTCACCATGAAATAATTTTATCTGTCAGCCTCACCCATCAAACTCAGGGGGCGGGGTTAACACTGATCGAGTCAAAACCATTGCTTTGGCCTGGTGGCCATTGTTTTTAGCACACAACAACCGGCATGTGGAAGCTAACAGAACTGAACTTTGAAAAACCCTGTTTGTGTGTTACCAAATACCGTTTTAATATTTTTTTAGCCGAGAATGTAGTGGTTTAATCTTCATATGTCTGGTTGGTTTGTCAAGATACAGCCTCTTCGCAAAAGTGCTTCGATGATTTCGGAGATGTCTGCCCAGTCTCACGGCAAAGCGTGGGACAGACCCGCTCGCCTCGCAAGCAATCGAGCTGTTATTACCACCGACAAAGCGCAGGCCCCGGTACACAGCTGTAATAACCCCCGCTGACACTGACTTCTTTTACTGAGGTTATATTTATCGGGTTTTTATTTCCTGATGTTCTTATGTGTCCTACGCGTTTCAGTCACCAATTCTGAATTATAAATAACATTAAAAACATGTTTAAGGAGGAGAGAGGGGAAATAAATTCAATTAACAGCTGATCTTTGGGTTTTTGTTCAGTAATCAGCGTGACCTGCGTATAAATGCATAAAAGAGATAACGTTGGCGTTTCTGTCATGTAGTAACTGCTGGCTTTAACTGTACAAAGGTTGTTCAACACTATGAAACGCATACAGACTTCATGATGTTCGGTTAATATTTTTATTGTGAATACTAATCATGAGGGTAAACGGCCCTGTACACCACGGAGCGAGGTCAGCATATCCATGATATCTTCAGCTCTCCGAGTTAGCCCAGTTTCCCGGCTGACTAATCTAACTGTCATCTACGAATATGTCACGGGTCATATTAATATGATTTAACAGAAAATCATCCTTATTACTGCCAACTATTCCAGAGACGTGAAAATCTACAGCATAAAGAACAAGAAAATATAGCAGTCTAACGCAACACTAACAGAGATGAACCGTCAGTTTGTCACAGATCAAAGTGGAACTAGAAAAATTTGCATTTCCTGCAAAAATGCTGTGTGGATGCCTTAACGTTGAAGATGTCGGCTGAAAAA